AGGTATGGGACATGTTCCTCTTCGGTTGCCACATGGAGCAGTCATCTGAAGCGATTGAGTATTTGGATTTCAGTAAGCGCACTCATAAGCTGTCATTTTCCTACAGAATCCTCCACCCAAGCTTGGCGAGGAAGGCTTAATTCATCTGCTTCAACTTTCGTATGCCAAGGCCTCCACTCTGTTTACTCATAGTGACTATATCCCAGTTGACAAGATGGACTTTCCTTGAACCTTCCGAGCTACCCCACAAGAAACACAGAATCTGTCTTTCAATGGAGTCCAGGATCCCAAGTGGTATGGGCTGCGTTTGCATGGAGTAGTATGGTATTGTGGACAGCACAGACTGAGCTAGCGTATAGCGACCCGCGAAGTAGAGAGTTTTTGACCTCCAACTTGCTAGTCTGGCTTGTACTCTTTCCAAGATGTTAGAAAAGGATTGCCTCTTTAAGCGGCCATGAATCGATGGCACGCCCAAGTATTTCCCGGGGTCCTCCACTCTGGAAAAACCGATTGTACTGGTGATGGATTCCTGGAGATTGGGAGGGGTGTTTTTAGAGAAAAAGACGGAAGACTTCTGTAGGTTGATATTCTGGCCAGATGTGGAACAAAATATGTCCAGGCATGATTTCATTACGGTTGCTTGTTCGTTTGTAGCTTCGCCGAATAAGATCATGTCGTCCGTGAAAAAGAGATGGGTTATGTGGGGGCCATCCCTTGTTAACTTAACACCATTCCAATTACCTGTATTAACAGAAGATTCAATATGGCGACTAAGGTTTTCTGTGCATAAAGCAAAAAGAAGAGGAGAAATGGTGTCTCCCTGACGAATCCCTCCCCCCGGGTGGAACCAATCCGAGAGCTCACCATTGTAGTTGATAGCTAATTTTGCCGTAGTCACACAAGTCATGATGTTCCTTTTCCATTGATGGTTGAAGCCAATGTTCTGGAGGGTTGTTTCAATAAAGTCCCAAGCTAGCCTATCATAGGCCTTCTCTAAGTCCACCTTGAGCATCATCCATCCTGCAGAACCTCTCTTGTGCTTCAATGAATTGAGGATCACTTGATAAATGATAATATTGTCAGTAATCTGCCTCTCCGGAACAAAGCTAGTTTGATGGGGTCCTATGAGCTTCTTAGAGGCTAATTTTAGCCGGTTTGCCATTGTCTTTGTTATAAGCTTGTATGATACGTTGCAAAGACCAATCGACCGCAAGTGTTTAACAGAGTCCGGATTAGGTACTTTGGGGATAAGGGTTATCATAGTGTCATTGCACGAGGTTAGTAGCCGGTCATCTACAAAAAAAAAAAAAAAAAAAAAAAAAAAAAAAAAAAAAAAAAAAAACTTAACACAAAATCAATTAAACAATCACTAGTTATGCCCCAAGTTTTTTGGTAGAACCCTGCCGTGTAGCCATCAGGCCCTGGCGCTTTGTTTGGTGACATTTCGAACAAAGCTTGCTTGACTTCTTCCTTCGAGAAAGGAGTGTTGATCCTTGCCCAGTCTTCCACACTTAGAACCGGAAATCCGCTGTGCATGCGCTCTTGAGAGGCAGATGTAGTTTCCCTGGAGAAAAAATTCACAAAGTGGTTAAATATATAGTCTCTTATCTGGTCTTCCGAAGTGATCTGCTGCCATCCTTCGATGTTCAGACATTTGATCCTAGTGAGGCTTCCCTTTGCCGCTGTGGACACTTGATAATAGCGTGTGTTGTGATCACCGGATTGGATCCACTCCTCTCAAGAGCGTTGATACCAAATGAGTTCTTCTTGGTTCAAGACTTCCTCAAGCTCGATGTGAAGCTTTCTATCAAGCTTTATTAAATCAGACCCCGGATGAACAGCCAAAGCTCTCTACACACCATTGATTCTGGCTAGTAGTCTTCTTTTCCTATGGAACACATTGCCAAAAATAGTCTTGTTCCAAACAGTTAGAGAGTCAGCCAAAGTGGCTTTGTTTGACTCTAGGTTACCCTCCTTTTCCCATGCTTGGTTAACAACTTCGTGAAAGTTGGGGTGGGTGGACCAAGCTAGGTTGAATCTAAAAGGCTTTGTGGCAGGAACATAAAGCAGAAAGTCAGAATTTACCAGCAAAGGAGTATGGTCAGAGCTCACCATAGGTAGGTGCACGACTTGAGTGTTCGGGAACCTGATTTTCCATTCAATATTACCGAGAGCTCTATCCAGCCTCGCTCCTTTGAAGGTTGCGGTGTCAATGCCCCGCATCCAGGTGAATTTGGAGCCAGAGAAGCCTAAATCGATTAGGCCCTCTCGGAAGACCCAATCATTAAAATCCTTGCACCGATTTAGGCCTTTAGGGAGTCGTTTTCTGGACAACTGACTTCATCTGAGTTTAGGATTGAATTGAAATCACCAACCACAAGCCAGGGGGCTTGGGGTATGAAAGAGTCGGAAGAAAGACAAGAAAATAGGATCCTCCGAAGTTGGATATTCGGACTGTCGTAAACTATTGAGAGTAACCAAGAGACCGATCCTGGGCATTTCACTTGCATTGTTATGAATTGTGGATGGGTATCAATAACCTCAATCCCAGCCGAGGCCTTCTAGAAGACCCAAATACCACCAGAAAACCCCACGGCATCCACTCTTACCCATTCATCGAAGCCAAGGCTGAAACATATCCGATTAGCATGGTTCCCCGACACTTTTGGCTCCACAAGGCAGACAACCGATGGGTTGTGTGAGCGAATGAACTGATTGAGGGTGCAGCGAAAGACTCTTGTAGTCGCGCCCTGGCAATTCCAAGTTAGGCAGATCATGGGGGGAAATCGAGGAGAAACGCGCTCAAGAGCGCAACTGAAGGCAAGTGGCCACCAGGGCTAGCCAAGTTCATGGCTAAAATAGGCGCAGAAATCTGGTTGGAGGATGTTGAAGGAATGTCCGGGGGGTCATTCCTGGGAGCAGCATCCTTCTCAAGCAAAGGCGAAAATTCTTGGTGGTCTTCGACATGGTAAACAACCGTGCTAGTGGTATGATGACCTTGTAGAGAGCCACGAACGTCAGTATGTTGTGCCTCCGCCGCGGCTTTTCTCGGTGCTGATCCTCTCCCACCCCTGCGTCTTAGTGCCCCACGTTGGGCTGGTGCTTGGTGGGCGTACAGGGATCTCTAGGGCTCTTCTCTCTGCAGATTGTGAGTTGGAGTCCGGTTGTGTATCATTGGACTCTTCTCAACTTGGAACGAGGTTCTGATTTGCGGTAGGGGTAAATCAGGATTATGAGCAGCAGGGGTTGAATTTTGACCTTCGTGCATAGGATCCCCTTCGTCTTCTTCAAGGTCCGCAAGCACTGTGAAGCCGGTTTGATTAGGCCTCTCCTGATCGTTCCGGCTGTTGTTCCTAGTGGACGGTTGCCTTTCGGGGGCCTGGCGATTCTCTCCCCTCTTGTCCTCTCCTGTCTCTCCTAGAAACCAACCTCCATGAGCCAAAGTTTGCAATGTAATCCCATTTTAGTTGCTCCTGTTGTCTCGGGTGGCCATTCGCAGCTTTAGGTGGAAGATGAGACCCTTGTGGCTGGTTGGTATAGTCTGAGGGTGCACCTTGAGAGCTGACAGTGTTATTCTTTCCACACTGATTTTGCTTATGGCCATAGAGGCCACAGGTGAAACAAACAAGGTGTAGGCCTTCGTATTCTACCGGCCAAACCTCCTCTTGGAGAGTAAATTTCGGCAGAAGGGGTTTTTCAATGTCTATTTCGACACAGACCCGAGCGAAACTTCCTTTGGATACATGACTCGTAGTGTTGTCGATCTTGATAGGCCTGCTAACATTCTTGGCAATTTTCATCATGAATTCCTCCTCAAAGTATTCTACCGGGAGTTCAGGAAATCTTACCCAAGCTAGCAGTTTCTTGGTCTTGTTGCTTCTTGGGCAGAAATTTGGTACCCATTCTTGGACGACTACATAGTGATCCAAGATACTCCATGGACCTTCGAACTTTGCAAACTCATAATCCCTTATGGAGTCGAATCTGTCAATGTAATACTCATAGCTCAACGAAATAAGTCCGAAGTTGGCTTCAGGTTTCCATATTCTCTGCAAGCGTTGCAAAAGGTATGAGTAGCCTACTTTGATGCCCAACACTCTTAATATTAATGAGCGGCGCCATGGTCTTCTAATCCTCTCTTTCTCCTCTTCAGATATCGGTACGACCGGGTTAAATGTCGCAGTGCTAGCATCCTCCATGGCAGCGTCGTCTTGGGATTTGTCATTTGCGAGTGAGTCCGGCACAATGGTCTGAGACCAAGTGCGAGGTGTGTCCGATGGGGTCCTCCATTGGCCAGAGTCTGGAGACATTAATTCTTCCTCTGGAAACCTATCATGTTCGTCTGTCATTCCTAATGAAAGTGCACGTGAGTCCAGCGATTCCCCTGCTCTCTTGGGCTTCTTAGTACTGCGAACGTTAATGCCATTTACCGCCGGCGACTGATGGGTCGCCGGCGGCAGATTTTGTTCGGAAAGAGTCTTAGAGATAATCTCCATTCTTGGAGGGTTCTTGAATCGTCATTCTGATCATTAAACGAGGAGAGATGGCGGTGCCTTCACTGCTTCTTCCCTACTTCTTCACTGGTTGTGGCGCTGGTTTTCTGGTGGTGCTGGTGCAAAGATGGATTAGGTTCAGAAAATTGGAGGTGAAAGCTAGGGCATTGTAAAATGAATTTGGGGGTAAATAGCGTGGGAGGAGAATGTGAGTAACTAGGGCTATCGCGAAATTATCAAAATGTCCATAGTATTAACTCTAGTTTGAGACAAATCTTGACCAGAGGGCTACATTGGCTACAATTGAAACATTTGAGGGACCAATTTAACAAAATTGACAATGAGGGACTACATTGCATATTTGAGAACAATTGAGGGACCAAAAGTGCGATTTTTCCTTTTCTAAATAAGCTTCAAGCTAGGGAATTATGATTAAAATAATTTCCTAGATGTTTTACTCAATATGGATATAAATGTATGCATTACCTTTTACATATTGCAACACAATTAAATTCAATCGTTTATTTCGTAAGTCTGTTAGGCATCAAAGAGCACATTACATTGTTACATATATATATAATAATAACATTGTATGCTTCGATTTAGTACACCGTATGCAACAGTTTTGACGGTTGAGAAGCACCAATCAGCGAAGGCTGCCCTTCTATGCAGTAGAATTATTTCTGAAAAAATAAGGAAAAAAAATGAAATGTAGTTCAAAACTTCAAATATAGATTTTGATATAAAAGTATATAGAAAAAAACATTATATTATTTCTAACTATGTCCTTTAAAATGGGAAAAAACTAAACAATTTGTGGTGTTTAATTTAAAATGAGAGAGTAAATATTATTTTAAAATAAATTTTAAAAATAAGATAAATAAAGTAGAACCAACAGTGTATTACTTTTAAAAACTATAAGTTAAGGATTTAAAACTTTTTTTGCTGCCCTATGTACTGCTTTTTATAAGATAAATAACATTTTTATTCTAAAATTATTCGTGACTAATCAATTTGATCTCTGGCTATCTAACCTATGTAAAAAGAATCTCTAAATGTAACCGTGTGAACTAATTAGGATAATATTGAAAAGGGTTTATTATTGTTCACTTTCAGTCACTCCCCAATTGATTTTGAATTGTATGTTCATACTGGACTTTAAAATTTATCAAATTTAATACGAAAAATGGCACTTTCCCCCCGAATTATATGCTTATAGCACTTTTTCTCCCTGAATTATTCATGTATATATATTTGCCCCCTCAATTATATTAAAAGTGACATTTTCCCCCTTGTATGTTAAATGGACACTTTTACCCCTTAAAACTAAGTATTTCATTTATTTTTTCCTCCAACAAATTATTGCTTAAATGTACGGATGACCACGATTCAGTTTGAACCTAACCGGACAATATAGCAACGGAATCGAAACAGTAAAGACGATTCTGGTTACGATTCAGAACCGAAAAAATAAAATAAAATAAAATAATTGTTGAATTTAGATTATTTTAAAAATAAAAAATAGAATTTAAAATAATACATAAATAAATTTGAATTGGTTTGAACCGCCAGATCAAAATTTATTTATTTATTTATTTATTTTTGTAAATTCTATTTCTTATTTTTAAAATAATCTAAATTCAACAATTATTTTATTTTATTTTATTTTATTGGTTCTGAATCGTAACTTGAACCATCCCTACTGTTTCGATTCGGTTGCTACAGTGTCTAGTTAGGTTCGAATCAAACCGTGATAATTCGTACATATAAACTATAATTTGTTACCATGATTTACATCCTCCCAAATGCTCTGTCCGTTCGGAGTGTGGCGGGGCCTTAGGGTTGGGGTTCAACCTTTTGGAAGAATAATTTGTTAGAGAAAAAAGTAAATGAAGTACTTAGTTTTAAGGGTAAAAATGTCCATCTAACATATAATATGAGGAAAAACTGTCACTTTTAATATAACTGAGGGGACAAATATAAATACATGAATAATTCAGAGGAAAAAGTGCTATAAACATATAACTCGGCGAAAAGTGATATTTTCCCAATTTAATATTTAACTACAATAATCACTTTTGATCCTTAGAGTCTTAAAAAAAATTGTTTGCTACATTTCAAACTACATACTGACAATCATAAGCATAAAAGATGATCAGAGGAATTTTTACATTTAGTTCTCAACTATTATATTAATCAAAATTCTTTTAATTTTGTCACATTTTACGTGTTTAATTTTCACTTATCTGTTATAATTAAAACTCCTTTAAAAAAATTTCATTTCACTACTTTATAAATATGACTAAGATGTAATTTCATCACTCAATTAAAAGAGTTTTTAAGAGAGGGTGAGAAATCATATATTGATGCACAAGGCTTGAATGATGAAATTGAATGTTAGAAATCATTATTGATCTTGGCTCAAGTGCGGACAGTGATTCCCGTGCGGCTGGGGTGCGGATTCACCATTAGATAAACAAAAATGCACCCCACAATGTTTTGAAATGCACCAATACACCAGAAAATGCATCACACCGCACCACACGTAATGGTACATTTTCGCATACTTTGTGGTGCATCTATATGTAACTAATGATGAATGACCGTACGGGGGAAGTACTGTCCACACGGGAAGTTGATTCAATTATTATTAATTGTTGACAAAATTTTAAATAGTGGGCTAATTGAAGCAATAATATAAAAGTTAAAAGGTGTAATGAAACAAAATTAAAAGAATAAGATTTTTTTTATGAAAATAAAGAATAAGATTAAATGCGACAATATTATAAAGACGGAAAATGAACTTTAAGGCGCTTACGCTTTTATCTTTGGTGCGTGTTCTTTAGCCAATTGATCAAATAAGCTTCCATCATAAACACCTATCACTCTTTCTTTGGTGAGCAATCCTTTCCCGTCTTTGGCAAGGAGATACAATACCCTCCACTCAATGGCGGCGAGAACCCTGCAAAAATTCTCGATACCTTTGGTCAACTCACTAACAAATTAAATTTAAAAGGCTTATTAGTGAAACAAAATTAAAACCTTTTCACTTTGTTGAAATTATATCCAAAATTTTAAAAGTTGTCAATTTAATACCAAATGTTTATATTTTGTAACAACTTTACCTAAGTATACTATACAAGTATACAACCTACCTTTAGACCAAAATGACCCTATTAAAATTTGTTGAGTTCCACTATTCTTTGACAATAAGCCTCGACATCATCATATGATTTGGTATTATTGTAGAATTGCAAACTATCGTCCAATTTGATTTTATTAAAGTAAACTAAACCAAAATGTGTACCCCTATTATTAACGCCAGTGTTCTTTAAGATAAAAAGGAGGCAAAACAATACATACCATCCCATGTAATCATTTGGATCCCTTTTATCGCGAAGCAATTCATCCACCTCCTTCGATGTTAAGGCGTTTGTATAAGTATGTCCATATTTGTTGAAAATTTCTTCAATTTTTGATTCAACAAAGCTATCATTATTCACACAAGGTAATTAAGTGAATAATGCTTGAAAGTAATGGATATTTCTTAACCGTTTTTTTTTTTTTAAATTATGGGTATTTTTTTTTTTTTTTAGTATTACTGACTCTGTTACAATATAGTATTTATTAATAACTACTTTCTCAATATACTAAAACACAAAAAGTCAATACCGTACCATCCCCACTAGGGCTCGAACCCATGACCTTCTATTTGGGTATATAATGTATTACAATAACAAATTATTAACATTAAAATTAACACCTCTAATACAATTATGAATATATGTTCCATGTCAATGACCTTGTGATCTAGTGGCAAGAAATAACCCTTTCAAATGTGAGGTCATGGGTTTGATGGGTTTGATTCTTAGTGGAGGTGGTAGTACTCAAAATGAATATGCTCCATGAACAAATAAAAGTTATTATACTTTTCGTCTCATTTTGTGTGTTGAGTTCATCATTAATTAATTAAGTAAATGTATATCTTCATTATAAATTGATAAAATAAAAACTCTAAATACTTAATTTAGATCTATTTAATTTTGTCAAATCAAAAAATGTATGTTAACTTTTATTATTTTTAATGTTCACTATTTTTTATTTTTTATTTTTTTTGAAAACTAATGTTCACTATTTGTTAACCATTGATATTATAAAATATTCTTGTATTTTCAGTTTTGATATTCTTTCAAAAGATAATATAATGTACACTTAATAACACTTATGCACGCCAAGCACATTGTGCTCATACGGCATGTAGTGACCTTTCTCATGTGGGAGGTCATGAAATCGAGCCTCAGTGAAGGCGTTGTTGACTCTTCATCTAAGTCAGTAGCATTCGAAAAAGAAAAATACCATACTTTCCCTCGCAACTCTTTGTGTGAGTCGGTAACATTCAAAAAAGAAATAACACTTATACACCAATAAATTTCAAACAAGTGCGCGCGCATATATATATACACACGTACGAAGGAAAGAAAACGTACTTTCCCTCGCGATCATAGGCACCACTGTCACTGCCATGCAGATCAAGTTTGATGTTTTCAATCACAATGGGGAAGACCGGAGAAGGCAATTTTCCCTGCATGCATGTCATTGAAAGTCTATCTTATAAATATGTTGTAATCATTGACCATAATATATATAAAGTAATGAATTTATAGTCACTTATTAACTGATTCAACATGTATTTAATGTATAATTTTACTATCAAATCTAGATAGGCAACCATGACGGTCTATTTTGTTTAACAGACAATGCACAACTATTCACCAATAGAAGATAGCGTTAGAGAAGAAGGTGAATGCCCCTTTTTTAAATTCAAAAATAAAAGATAAAATAATTTTTTTTATTAAAAATTAAAAATTGATTTGTTATTTTATAAAATAATATAAAATCAATTAGAAATATTTTTATTTTGCTAAAATAATAAAATAATAAATAGTACATTTAGCATCCACCTACGCCTTAATTATATTAACCGTGACTAAGTGAATAAGTCATATTAAGGCTCTGTTTGGCAAACCTAGCTCAAAAGGTATAGCTAGGAGCTGAAAACTGAAGAGCTGTTAAGCTAACTGTTATGATTGAAAGTGTTTGATAAAATTAGCTTTTTGATAAGCTGATAAATGTAAAAAGACTAAAAAGGACATCTTCATAAAATTAAAATTAATTTGTTTATATATTAAAATTTAACATTTTGTCTTTAAAAAAATTAACATTTTGAAATAAAACTATTAGCATAATCATGATCTAGCATCTCATAATGAAGTAGCAATATTGTTGCAAATCTCATAATAATAATAATAATAATAATAATAATAATAATAATAATAATAATAATAATAATAATAATAATAATAACAATAATAACAATAATAACAATAATAACAATAATAATAATAATAATAATAATAATAATAATAATAATAATAATAATAATAATAATAATAATAATAATAATAATAATAATAATAATAATAACATTTGCGGTGAAAGTTGCGGATAAAGGAGAAGATAAAGGGTTTTAATTAGGAAGGGGGTTCTAATTAGGAACGGTAAATTATGTCATTTCTTTAAGATAATAAGGATAAAGATGAAAAAAAAAAAAAGTTAGGAAGCTAGGAGCTTATTTTGAAATGCTACCTAAGGTAGTGTTCCAAAATAAGCTCTTATATTAAGCTAGGAGCTTATTTTGAGAACATTACCAAACAGAGCTTATAGCTTATTAGTAGCTTAAAATAAGCTATAAGCTCCTAAATAAGCTCTGTCAAACAGAGCCTAAAGCTTAATTGTACAATTTTATCGATTTAGGAGCTCTAATTAGTGCCTTTTTCACTTAGAAAACATAATTACACTATTCGTTATACATTGAGGACAAATTTGATATTTTTTCAAAATGAAAAAGGCATTAAGTCAATAAAATTGGCGGAGGTTCTCCAATAGTAGAAAAATCAAATGGTAGACTTTGATGCGACAAATTATAGACCATGGTTCACATTGTATTGTAGATCCTATTCCAAAATAATATTTAGATTATATGTATACAGTTAATATATTATGTATATTTATCTGCAATATTATGCGCTTATATATTAATTGAAGACACATAATATGTTAACTAAATGCACATAATATAATATATTACTTACATACATATTTGGCATGTGTGTACTATTGTACATATGTGTGCGCATTTACTTGTTGTGGTGCACGATGTATATGTGTGCGTATGTGTTCATTTCCATGTGAATGTCTATACAATGAAATTTTAAAATGTGCAAAGTATAATATATGAGTGTGGTGTTTGCCGTGCGCGTACACGACTCTAGTGACATTCTGCGGTGCACATTATGTTGTCCATGAGTGCACAAAGTTGTCCAAGCGCAATACAACACAACACCACGTGTTTGTCTCACAAAATTAAAGCACCAAACATAATCAAAACAATCAGATTTCTTATATTTAATAATAATAGCAATAATTTATTATTTAAATGAAAGAATTTAATAATATAGAAACTCCAATTTTATCATTGACTTATATAGAGGGATGCAATCTCGTGCGAATGGCCGTCTAGGTGCGAAATGTGAACCAATCAGCGCGAGCCACGTGTCCTACTTTCACCTACAAGTGCACCTACTTTCACCTATAAGTGCACCTACTTTCACCTATAAGTGCACCTACTTTCACCTACAAGTGCATGTAATTTTGCCTCTACTTTCACCTATAAGTGCATGTAATTTTGTCTTGTTAACATTCATTGATCAGGTGCACCTACTTTCACCTACAAGTGCACCTAGTTATAACAATATGTGCACCTAGATCTGGACACGTGGCGCGCGTTGATTGGTTCGCATTTCGCATCTGGGCGCGCCATTCGCACCAGAACGCGACTCTCTCTCTCTCTCTCTCTCTCCACACACACACACACACACACACACACACACACACACACATATATATATATATATATATATATATATATATATATATATATATATATATATATATATATATATATATATATAAGTTCAAATGCAGCGGACCCTTCCCGTGTGGCGGAGTTTCAAAATTCACCAACAGTGTTAACGACAAACACAAAAAATGTAAGGGAAACACACCATAATGAACTGCAAAAATACACCAAAAAATAAACAACACACCTAAAAAAATACACCATATAACTCACCACCCTTAATGGTGTATTTCAGAACACTGTATGGTGCTTTTACTCACACCTAATGGTGTGTTTTTGGTGATGCATACCTAATTTTTGTGTGTTTTGTGGTGCATTTTCTTGGTGACGCTGCACCGCCACACGGAAAGGGACCGCTGCACCTGAACCTTCATATATATATATATATATATATATATATATATATATAATGGTTCTTTGGTCCCAAACCCACCATACAACTATGTAGTTTTTATGTGAGAAATAAGGTAAAAGGTTGAAAAAGTGGCTATACAAACAACTTGACTAGTAGGTAGTACCATTTTGGTTTTAGATTACCTTAATAAATAAGGATCCATTTGGAAATCTGTAAATTGACTTCTGGAAATTATTTTTCAGATTTTTTAATGTTTGGGTATTCAAGAAAAATGAAATGAAGTAAAATAAAAATATTTATTTCGATCAATGGAAAAAATATTCAATTTGACAAAAAATGTCTTTCTAACTTTTTAGTCGGAAGACATTTATCATATTCTTTATTTCTATCTCTCTTCCTAATCTTATTTTTTTAAGTTAGTTTTGAGATTATTATTATTACTACCACCACAAAAACAATCACCTCCACAACCACCACTATCACCACTACCACTATCACCACCACCACTACCACCAAAATCAATACGACCACCATCACCACATATTATTATTATTATTATTATTATTATTATTATTATTATTATTATTATTATTATTATTATTATTATTATTATTATTATTATTATTATCACCACCACCATCACCACATATCAATATGACCACCATCAAATAATATGTTCATTTTCAAGAAATTAAACAAAAAAAAAGAAAAAAAAAATGTAATTTATTAACTTTCAGCCAAACACCAGAAAATTAAAATATTTTCTGAAAATGAGTTATTTTTTGAAAAACATTTTTTAAATTTCCAAACGGATCCTAAGGAAATTGTATGGGTATAATCCTATCCTGTATATAATAAAGCCATATGGTCTTGAAAAATTAAATAATGATGCTAATGATTTTATTGTTGGAAAAGATGAGCCTAAGTTGCATAAATCTGAGGAGTCCTATGTACCACCCAAACCTTATGTGCCCCCGATTCTATTTTCAAATAGACTCAAAAGTTGTGTGCCTAAAACGGTAAGTGCAGTGCTACAAAAAGAATTGCCCCAATCCCAATTGATGTTCAAGCAAGCAAATTGACCAAAAATGTGCTTGATGAAACTGCTGAGTTTTCAATTTTTACTATGAATTTGCTTGATAGATCTAATCAATTTTTTGCAGTTAAGGGTTGAATTTTGCAAAGGATGGTAAGTTGGGGTTTAATAAAATTCAAAAAGAAAATCTTTTGAATGACATTGATCATAAATTAGTTTCTTCTTGCCATTTAAAAAATGTTGTGCAAATTGAGAATTCCTTGAAAGGAAAATCTAACAGGGAGGGCTTTCTTTATCCTCTTTTCTTTCATTTTCACAACATTGGGGACAATGTTAAAAATAAGGAACAAATTGCACTTTTGGTCCTGTGAGTATTAGGGTACTGACAATTTGAGTACGTGACTTTCAAAACTCCCAATTTAAACCTTTAACTATGCAATTTTTGGCACATTTGGTCCTCCGGGCCAAATTGCCGGCCAATTTTAGCCGAAAAAACATAAATTGGTTCAAATTGTTTTTTGACGAGGGTAAAATTGTCATTTCACTCCCTTCTTCTTCATTCTCCCTTTCTTCTTCGTTCTTCTTCTTCTTCATCCCGGTGAACTTGTTATGCTCCAACGACAGCGCCGACAGCATCGGCAGCGACGCCATGAATTCCGGCAAGGAGCTGTGCAGTTTGTTGAAGCTGAGGTCAATCGCGATCAGCTTGCTGAGAACGCCCATGTGTAAGTGATTGAGAGGACGAAATATTTGTTGGAGTTGAGGTTAAGGATGGTGCGGTTGTTTTGGCAGGTGAGTTCGTAGGTGGAGAGGCCGCAGGAGGAGTTTGGATCGCCGGCGGTTAATCGGAAGGGATAACGGATGTCTTGAATGTTACCGCAAGAAGCAGAGCAGCTTCTCTTTTGTTGATGACCTCTGCAATTTGTTCCACACAAAATCGCCAATATTATTACAAGTCTCATCATTTTCTCTCTCTTTGATCTGTGGAATAATTTGTTTGATGTGTTTCTGGTGTTTTTGGGCTTTAAGAGCAATGGGTTGGGATTCCTAAATTATCCACAGCTCGACTTGCCATTGGCTGTCTTCGCTCACCATTCAAATCGGCACGCCAAATAATGTCTGTTGTTGACTAACTGACCGGAAGGTGTTTTCCCCCCAAATACATTCACTCAATGACGTTTTTACCCTCATCAGAAATTAATTCGAAGCATT